AGTTGCCTCTTGTAAAGTCTGCAAAAAAGATGTGCAGCTTTTCACAATGGGCGAGTCTGCGCTGTCGAGTCATCCGCGCAAAACTGGTTCCATAAGGTGCTGGAAAAAGTTTTAAAATGGATCTTGAAAGTGCTTGAAAAGTGCTTGATTTTGACTTTAGAAAAGGTGTACGAACCCTGTTTCTATCTACGGAAAACCAGCTTATTGCATCGACTCATTGACTCTTCAGCAATCCCTCACACTAAGCATGCTTCTTTGCTCCTTACCTCAGAGAAAAGTCGTCCCCAGAACTGATCCCTTAAATTCAATCAGGAAATAATTCAATTCATTAAACAGAATATTTGAAAAAAAAAAGAAAAATGAAATAACATCTGTAAAAACAATAAAGCTACTCTCAATTTTTTTCTATTAAAACGTTTTTTTAAAGTTTCATAATTAAATTGCATTTTTTTTTCTAATTTCCATTTACAAAACATGTTTTTTATTGCAAAAAAGATGGAGCAAAATGACTCCTTATGCCTTAAGATCACCAATGCGCATACGTTGCTGCTCCCTCCATCTGCTATGCATCATTAATTTTTTGTTTGATTTGTTATTAAAGGTTTATGTTTAAATTATGACGACATTGATTATCATTTTTTCATTATTATCATGTAAACTGAGGAAGAGGAAACAATATCGGCCCTAAAGAATCGGCGGAACAGATTGCGGATCGGTTAGACTGATGTTAAAATAATCAGTATCAGTTTTGGCCTTAAAAAAAAATCCTTTAATGGTCGATCTCTGATCAAGAGAAGCAAACCCAGCAGAATCAGATCCAGGGTTTGCTGTAGGGAGGAGCTGAGCAGCAGGAACCATGAACCGTAATACAGAAATGGAGGAGAAAGAAAAGGCCAAACTGGCACCGAGACACAGGAGGAAGACGGAGGAGGAGGAGCAGATTAGACTCCAACATCTGAGAGGAACCAGGAGGAGCTGAAACCAGGAGCATAGATGTTCTCCCTCTGCATGCCTGGCTTCTCTGTGTTTACTCAGCATTACAGGTCTAGCACCCCTAGTGGCTGAAAGTTACACAGCGTGGCCTTAATCCACCAACGGTTTAGATCTTGAATTTGACCTTTAATGTCAATTTGTTCACTTAGTACAATAATACATTATCACTAAATGTGAAACAGGCCCACAGCACAATGCTGCCACAGCCGTGCTCTACAGTTAGAGCAGTGTTCTGACTTGCTCAGCCCTGATCCAAACGGCTTCGTCTCCTCAGAACTTTCTCTCAGAATATCCCTCACAGTTTTCTGCTCTGCTAAAGAGGAGAGGATCCAGATCTATGCCCTGGATTTATAGCTGGATCTTTCCACACCTGAGATCCTGATCTGGTGTCTTCTCACCCATCTGTTCGTTTCTGTCTCAGGAAAAGTCTCCTGTGGTCTCCCTCACCAAACTGATCGTCAGAGAAGTAGCCAATCAGGAGAAAGGGATGTACCTGATCAGTGACTCCACCCCTCCAGAGATGTACGAGGTGTACGCTTCATCGAAAGACGACAGGAAGACCTGGATGAGCTGCATCCAGAAGGCTGCTCAGAGGTAGTACTACCCTGTACTATAATATATTATATGGTACTACAATCTACAACACAGTATTAAGCTGTTCTAGACCACCCTGATCTTCAGTTTACTATACTAGAATGTTCTATGCTGTAATGCAGGCTACTTTACTATGAAATAGTTTACAGTTTTCCAAAAAAGTAAAAAAAAAAAAAACCCACTGGACTTTGTTTCCAAGTTTGAAGACGTTTCGCTTCCCATCCTGGAAGATTTTTCTATTCAAAATGTCTGAAATAAAGTTGAGTTTGAGGCTTTAGATTAATATGAGCTTGATGATGATGTGCTGATCATCCATTCAATTACCGCTAAACTCAAAAATACTTTTTAGATCCCAAAGGGGAAATTGAATGTTGTTTTAAGTCTTGAAAAGTTC